CTATCTTAAGAGTTTTTGGATGTCCTGCTTATGCTCATTCCAGGACGGGTAAATTAAACCCGAGAGCTGTTAAATGCATTTTCCTTGGTTATGCTTCTGAGTCAAAAGAGTATATGGTCTCCTGATTCTCAGAAAATTATTTTGAGTCGAGATATCACTTTTGACGAAAATGCACTACTTTCTTCTGGAAAAGTTCCCAGTACAGATGAGACGCCGGGTACTGGTGAGAAGGTGGAGTTTGAGTTCAGGCCTATTGATAGTGTTACTACTGCTGATGGTAATACTAAAGATGATGCATCTACTAGCACAACACCTCTCGTCGAGCCACAACGAGAGTATTCCATTGCTATGGATCATCCTAGGAGGGCAATCAAGAAACCTGCTAGGTATGCTACTGATGATGAAACCAACATGGTTGCTTATGCTCTTTCAGTCGCACAGGAGGTTGATGATGATCCATCCTACTATTATGAGGCTCTTCCTGTTGCTAAGATCAAGCAGCGCTTGAGTTTAGTCGGCTGTTCCAGTTGTTAATTCCACAATGGATTTGATCCAAGGTGGAGATTGTTAGGAAATAATAATTTGTGGCTCAAAATCCATGAGACCACTTCCTTCCACATAGCATGCATCATGGTCCCTCTTCTTGCATGTTCACCTAGCTTTGTGGAGGTTCATGCATTTCCCTTATTTCTATCTAAATTTCATTGTATAAATACATTAGGTTTGCTGCTTTGTAAATCACTCATCATTACATCAATTTAGAATTGATTATTCTTCTTTCTTTTGTCTTCACGTAGCATACGTGTATATATATATATATATATATATATATATATATATATATATATATATATATATATATATATATATATATATATATATATATATATATATTCATTCTTGATAGTAATATATATATATTTTTTATATTTCCCACTTTATTAATTATTTTTGTCATTTATATAATTTTCTTCGTTTACATATTTTCCCTATTATTTAACTTCTATAATTCTCAATTTTCGATTCTTTGATTCCGCATTATTCCGCTTTATTCCTAACAGATACGCATATTATGTTATACATAAGCGCACATATTACGATTGACATATTTGGACGAAGGTAAATGAGAGTAACCGTATTTTTTAATGCTATTGTTAAAAGGAATTGATAGAATAATATAACGCAAATAAACAATTAGATGCAGCCATATAGTTTTATTTTCAATTTGTAGAAGTATCAAGATACATATAAAGTTGTATACATGGTGGTTCTGGAAATCATTGTAATTCAATAAATGACGGAACGACAGTGTGGGACATTCTTCCTCCGGGGAATAAAGGAACAATGTATCCTCATCAACGCGAGGGGTTTGATTTCTTGTGCAGAAACATTGGTGGGGATAAACACTTCGAGATTCTGAAAAAGCTGTAGTATGATTGTGGGAAGGGATGCATAACCACGATAGTGTTTCTCCAGTCGTTTATGAATCTCTTCCCCGATAGCCATCCTGTAATCATAGACCCTCGAAGCATGCTTCATACCCGAAAGGCTAAATTCTGAAAATGGGATGTGGATATCCCCTTCCACAACTTGAACAACCCAGCGTTGTCAGGTAGGGAAAACCGTCACTTGGGCTTTTTTGTCCAGGTCGGTTGGTTCAGGTTTAGAATGTGTTGCTTTAGTTATTAATTATGAGGAAAACAACAAGAGTGGAGGTGGGGGTGTGGGGTGGGGGGTTAATACGAGCAGGATAAAGATTTAGAAGAATAAGAAGGAGATGAAGAAAAGATGAAGGATCCTGCGTGGGTGAGAAAGAGTCACCATACGGCATTGTGTATATCCATGTAGTGCAAAGAAACCAAGTGAGAGTATTAAACAATTAGACAATATATATAGGTAATAAATTTTGATGTTGGATTGCAGCATCTTACCTCCCTCCCTTTTATAGGCTAATATAATAATAACATGTTACGGGGTGTGGGTGGGGAACATTTACTTTCGTCGTTATAGATCATCATATTTTAATATGCGGTTACATTGTTTCTTATGTGCGTTTCGGAGTAATACAGCGTGCATCAACGAACAAGTTTACTATACGCATTGTATTGTATTCATGAGCCAATATTAAGTAACAAATAAAAGCATTTTAAAGTATTTTGTCACGCACATTAAGCGTGTATCCAACGCACCTTAAGCTATAAGGCCATTTACATATAAAATTGTCATGCATAAGGTGGGGTTGCGTGGTCAGGTGACAAGACTAATCGTTGTCAGCAAATTTTCTATTTCCCATAAAGGAAATCTTTTCACAATTGAATCAAAGGGAATCTTGGTAAATGTAACTTTTTTTATATCGTCTCATATTATAATTATTATCAACACGCACATTGTAATGTTTAGTCGCTCATATTACAGTGCAAATTAAAGCACATTAAAAATTATTGGACGGCGTCACTATTTAATTACCAGTCGTACGGGAAAGGTAGGTGACAAGACTAATCGTTGTCAGTAATTTACCTATTTCCCATAAAGGAAATCTTTTTCAAAATTGAATCAAAGGAAATCTTGGTAAATGTAACTTTTTTTTATCACCACACATTGTAAATTATTATCAACACGCACATTGTAGTGTTTACTCGCGCATATTACAGTGGATATTAAAGCATATTAAAAATTGTTGGACACCGTCACTATTCAATTACCAGTCGCATGGGCAAGGTAGGTGAAAAGACTAATCGTTGTCAGTAATTTACATATTCCCCATAAAGTGAATCTTTGAACACTGAATTGTCATTTATGACTATTAACTATGCATGTGTAGTTGGCGAAACGGACAGTATGTTGTAGGTCATTCAATGATTTAAAGGACTTTAAAAAACGGACATCATTTTTTCACGTACGCAGCACTAGTATTTGGCGCATTTTATAAATCTATGTGAAGCACATTAAGTGTGTGAACTCCATTTCATTTCAATGTTCATGAAATGTCAAAATTAAATGTGTCAAGTCAGGAAATGTGAACAAGTATTTCGCCTATAAAAAGGAAGGAACACCAAACTTCCGAGTACCAAGGGTTTTCTTTATATTTTTATATGTTGAAATGGAATCAATTGAGTTACCCACTCCATGTCAACAACAAGCATCATTTCTTCCTCGTCGTGTTCTTCATGTTGTTCATAATATTTACCCTCATGTTCTTCATACTCGCCCCCCTTCTTCTGGTTGTGATTGTAATTAGTTACAAAACAACACATTCTAAACCTGAGAATAAACACCCTCTTAATCAAATACAAAACCACAATAATATAAACACCCTCTTAATCAAATACAAAACCACAATAATTCAGCCCTTCCTGGCCAGATGCCCCCATCGTTCCCCACACTGACTCGGAGCGAGAAGTTACTCCCCGTCATCTATACGTCGCCGAGTGGGTACTACTGCTATACATCGACATCCTTTGAGTAGAGCTCAGCGGCGGTAGCTGTGGGGGACTGTGTGGTTATCGTCTAAGACGGCACATTCTAAACCTGAGAAGGTTCTTTATGGGTCTAAACCGTAACCAATCCCGACATTGTGGACTCCACTAAGTTGCATGTAACTGTTGGAGCAAATTAAAACATCTGGATTAGTTGGGGTTTACATTTGTTGAAGTCAATCTTCTCAGGTTTAGAATGTGTTGTTTTAGCCCAGACATACGGCAGGATCCTCTACTCCTTGTGGAGATATATCCTTTGGTACCTTAATGCAGGCTTAACCAAAAGAAATATCTCCAAAAGGTGTAGACGGATCCTGTCGTTTGTCTGGGGTTCTTTATCAATTAAATAAGATATCACTGGGCAGATGTTTTGAATTGTTGTGTTGGTTGGTGTTGATTTAGATGGTTAGGGGGATGTTGTTTATTATTATTTTCATTATGTGAGTGGTAGTAGCAAATGAATGTATGAATTAGTTCAATGCAAATAATAAATATTTGGTTGGCTGTTATATATTTTTCTTGATTTATTTATTTGAAAGTCAATAAATAAATAATCAAAAATCAAACGCGCATTATTATTGTCATATTATTATTATTATGCACACAGCAGGACTAATACCCTTTTTCATGGTGTGTGGGACAAAATCCGTAATATGCGTTGATTTGGTCATTTATATGCATTCAACAAGAATACAATGTTGCACATGTAAATTATTAAACTTTAAAGTATTACCGTTCGCATATTAAGAACTAACTTAACGCACAATCGTTAAAATATTGCAACTGTACAATGAAGTATTCACACGCACGCGACACACGTTAAGTTAGCCAATAAAACACATTAAGAACCATAATGTGGTTTACACACACTCTTTTTAATTCGGGATCAGTCGAAAGGTTACATATGTTTCGGGACACAGCAAATAAACGGATGAGCCTAACGGTGAAGTGGTAGAAGTCTTTGTAATTATTAACTCCACCCAAGATTGAACCTTCCCCCTCTACAATAATTTACTCTTTTTTTCGATTAAATATTTTCAGAGTATTTCTAATCAATAAGGCAAATTGTATTCGATCGTTTGTTCGCACACTAAGACCTGACGATACGCATATTATATTATTTATGCCCGCATGTTAGAGATGAAAATGACGCACGTTTGTTAAAGTATTGTGGTAGCGTCAATGGCTTGTGGACTTACGCATGTTAATACATTTGGTCACGCACATTAACTTGTTCATAGACGGAAATATTTTTAAAATCCGTCAACCTCATTGAAACATCAACGTACGCATATTAAATTGTTCATACACCAATTATAGGTAAATTAAAAATGTAAAAAAAAAAAAAAAAAAAAAGATATTCCGTATTTTTTACTTTATGTAAAAAAAAAAAAAAAAAAAAAAAAAAAAAAAAAAGATATTCCGTATCTGTTAAATTATTCAATTTAACCTAGTTATTCGCCTATAAAAGGAGAAGAACACTCATCAAGAAAACATACGTCGTAATGGCATCGTTTGAGTCTTTCACTCCATTACCACAACCACCATCGGTCCTTCATCGTCGTATTTTGTACATTCTTTACAATGTATACCCTCCTCATCATATTCACCCTCCTTCTCCTTTTTGTTGTCGTTGTAATTGATTTCAATAACAACACATTCTAAACCTGAAATCAAGCATCACTTAATACAAACTTCGATCCTGAGATCGATGGAAGTTTGGGATGTTCTCTGCGACCGATTCCAGTTTGAAAGACGTGGTCTCCCCGCCCATTCAGAGCAGATGCACAGAAAACGGTCAAGAGGATGCATTGTGTGTGCTGTTAAAGTGCAGATCCACAAAAACGTTCAATTGATGGTCATTGGAATACCCAAGAAACTTACAAGTTCGCAGAGGACATCAACGTGGTGTTTTTTTTTATTTATTTATGTTTTTTTTTGTGTTTTTGATTAAGAACGGGGAGAACATTGTATCTCGGCAGTTTGCGCATGCTAGATGTTATGTAACGCATGTATTGTCATTGGATAAATTTATTAATAAAGTAAAGTTTTAATACACAAGCCTACTCGCATATTGTTTATTTGTTACGCATATTAATCATTATTGTTCCGCCAATTTTATATATATATATATATATATATATATATATATATATATATATATATATATATATATATATATATATATATATATATATATATATATATATATATATATATTCTTATATATTTTTTATTATTTTTAAATTTTTTATACGCATATTATAATGTATATACAAGCGGGTTATACAATTCAACGCATATAAAGAGTTTAATATAGGTATAATGTCTTCAGTTTTTTAACGCAAATAAGGTTTAATGTTGCGCATATGCAACGCATATTAGAGTAATAAGTCCCGTCAGATATTTACATGGCATTGGGTAATGGTTGTGAATTCATTCTGGATGTCAGCTTTTTTATATTTCCCATAATGAGAATATTTTAAAGTTGAATGGTCATTCAATACTTAAAAAACGTGCCCATTGATGTTTTTGTTTTATTTTATTTTATTTTTTTTTTCTTGTATTCTTTTAAGTCACACGCACACTAAGAACTATAGATACGCATAATAAATTGTCAATACGCACATATTAATGATTAAATTATATCTTATTCGTTTAAAAATCTCCCAACACATATTAAGATGTAAGCATACGCATTTTAAAGTATACTTGTATAACACATTGCATACTAGAGCAATTTAAGTTTTTTTTTTTATAATCATTTTTTTTTTGTCCAAGTCAACGAGTATATAGTCTCTCGCACATTAAGTATGAAAGGCACGCACAATAACGTGTTAATGTGCGCATCTTAGAATATATTGCTGCACATGTTAAGTAATACATACATACGCCATATAATAATGGAAAGGTATTTAAAAAAAGGATGAAAAATATTTCAGTATGTGAAATAATATAAATTGAAAACGGAAAAAAATAAAAATCAATTTGAATAATAATATCTTTTTATTATAATAGGAAACGGATTCTTAAATGGTTGTGTGTTATTAGGAATCAATTTGTTAATAAACGGACCCATTCAAGGCACGCACAATCTTTATTTTTTGTTTTTTATTTATTTTTTTTATAATCTTTATTTTTTTTGTCCAAGTCAACGAGTATATAATCTTTCGCACTATCGTAAAGTGAGTTCACGGACAGAGAGAAGATGAAGAAAGCTTCATTGTTATTCACGTCAAAATGAAGAAAGGAGTTAAAAAGAAGATTACACTGGGAAAGGGAAACTGCCACATTAATATCATAGTGACAGTTGTAACAAACAGAATAATGAAAATACAAATCTACCCTTCTATACTTTCCTTTCTTCCTCCAATACCCCCCCCCCCCCGGTAAGCTGGAGTGTGTAAATTTTTAACACCCAGCTTAGATACAAAGAGCTCAAACTGAGAAGTGGGGAGCGGTTTAGTGAAGCCGTCGGCAACTTGGTTGAGAGTGGAGACAGACAGCAGCTTGATCAGTCCTTGAGTGATTCTTTCTCGCACAACATGGCAATCGATCTCAATATGCTTAGTTCTCTCATGAAAAACATGGTTTTCAGCATTTGCGATAGCGGACTTATTGTCGCAAAACACAGTGGCAGGATCATCTACAGCTACATGCAAGTCTTGAAGCAATGAAGTAAGCCACTGCAATTCACACACAGTGGTGGCAAGTGCCCGGTACTCTGCTTCGGATGAGGATTTTGACACAGTTGCTTGTTTCTTTGATCTCCATGAGATAAGGGATGTGCCAAGGAAAATACAGTAGCCTGTGACAGATTTGCGAGTGTCTGCGCATGATGCCCAATCTGAGTCGGAGAAGGCTTTGAGTGTAAGAGTGTTTGCTACCGGATAGAATAACCCCTGGCCAGGGGAACCTTTAATATAACGGAGTATGCGATGCGCAGCAGCCATGTGTTTATCTGTAGGAGAGCTGACAAACTGACTAAGCCGATGGACGGCATATGTGATGTCTGGCCTTGTTGCCGTAAGGTATAGCAGCCTACCAATCAACCTGCGATAAATGCCTGGATCACTTAGGGGTACACCATCCCCTTGTAGCAAATGGGATCCTGGAACCATTGGCGTAGTCACCGGTTTGCAATCAATGAACCCTGTGTCATTTAGAATGTCAAGCACATACTTCCTTTGGCATAGATTTAGACCAGCACTGCTTACTTTGGCTTCAATGCCCAGAAAGTAACCTAAGACACCTAAGTCTTTGATCTTAAAAGTCTCATTCAATAGATCTTTGAGTTCTTGGATAAGAGTCAACTCACTGCTTGCTAATAGAATGTCATCAACGTAGACCAAGAGGGCAATGTAGCTACTGCCAGTGCCTCTGGTGAATAGGGACGGATCAGCAGCAGACTGTTTGAACCCAGCGTGTAGAAGGGCACTAGTTAGCTTGGCATTCCATTGCCGACTTGCTTGCTTTAGGCCATAGAGCGATCTTAACAATTTGCATACTTGGTTCGGCTTTTCACCTTGAAAGCCGGGAGGGAGAACCATGTAAATCTCTTCTTTTAGATCGCCATGTAAAAAAGCATTGTTTATGTCCAACTGGTGGATATGTCATGCGTTGGATGCAGCCACGGCCAAGAAAGTCCGAATAGTAGTTAATCTAGCCACCGGGGAGAAAGTCTCGATATAATCCACCCCCAATTGTTGTGTGTAACCCTTGGCCACCAACCTAGCCTTGTATCGCTCTATGGTGCCATCCGCCTTGAGCTTGACCTTATAAACCCATTTACATCCTATGGGCGTTTTACCAGCAGGTAAGTCTGTTAGCTGCCAAGTATTATTATTTTGCAGTGCTGTGATTTCTTCCTGCATAGCGTTTTTCCAACATTCTTGTTTGGTAGCTTGGTTGTATGTGTGAGGTTCCGTTATAGAAGTGACAGACAAAGTGAAAGCTTTATGCAAAGGTGTTAGGTGATCATATGATATCACTCTTGATAGAATGTGAGGTGACGAACCTTGCCTTTGAACCATGTCACAGTAAAAATCCTGCAGTTTACTAGGCACACGCTTATCTCTAGTTGACCGCCTCAAGAAGATTGGAAGGGCATCATTAGTGGCTTCTGTCTCATGGATAGTGATATCTTGGGCTTCATCAGTTGTGGCCTCACCAGATAATCGATCACCAGTCACAATTTGTGCTTCATCAAAGATGGACCCATGTGAAGATTGTTGTGGAGACCCTACTGGAGTGTGCCTGTGGCTGGTCATTAACTGATTTGACTCCTCATAGTTCATTAATGTTGATGTAGGAATATTTGGCAGTGAGGGGTTAAATGGCTGTGGCACTGTTTTGGTGAGTTGTGTATTCTGCTCAGACAATGGAAATTCCTGCTCATAGAAGACCACATCTCTTGACACAAAAATGGAACCATCAAGCAGGTCATACAAGATATATCCCTTCATATTAGCTGGTATACCAATAAAGATACACTTTCTACCTTTGGGCTCCATTTTATTTCTCAAGTGAGGCAAAGTAGAGGAAAAACATAAGCAACCAAAAACCTTAAGCATATTGAGATTAGGATCTTTACCATATAGCTTGTTGTAAGGGCTCAACCCTTCAATTACCGATGATGGGAGACGATTGATGATGTGCACAGCATGCATAACACACTGCCCCCAAAAATCCATTGGAAGATGGGCTTGAAACCGTAGAGCTCTAGCAACGTTGAGTATGTGTTGGTGCTTTCTTTCAACCACAGCATTTTGTTGTGGAGTGTTGACACACAACCTTTGATGAACTATCCCCTTCTCACAAAAAAAATCTGTCATGACAAACTCGGGTCCATTGTCACTTCTAAGCATCTTGATTAGAACTCCAAACTGTGTGAGAGCAAAGCTATGAAACCTCTTTATCAAATCTCTAACCTCTGATTTCCTTTTCATTAAGTGTAGCCATGTGAACCGGGAATGATCGTCCACCAAAGTTAGAAAATAACGTTCCCCTTTCATTGAGCAAACTGGGAAGGGACCCCATATATCTGCATGAATTAACTCAAAACAAGCATTGGAGGATGAAACACTTATAGGAAAAGGTGAACGCTTATTGTTTGGCTAGATGACACACATCACAAGCTTTATTTGTGTTAGATGAGGTCTGAATTTCTTTGAACAAATGCATCTTATTCATGGGGAAATGTCCCAAACGTTGATGCCAAGTTTCAATCTTATTACATTGCAAAACAAGACTTTCGTCATGACCAGTAGTCTCCATTGGTAGCTTCATCAGATAGAGTCTTTTTTCTTGTTTAGCTAAGCCAACTGTCATCCCATGTGGTTTCTGAATCATGCATTGTCCAGAGGAGAATATAAGACTATAAGATGTGTCTTGGAGCAATTTACTTACTGACACAATGTTAAATTGGAATGAAGGAATGTGCATGACATCTCTTAGCCATAAATTGTTTCCAAGCTTTATACTGCCCTTATGTCTAACAGCAATACGACTCCCAGTGGGTAAGCTAACTTCATCTCCTTCAACCGTATGATATTCATCAAAAAATTCAATAGAACATGCTATATGGTCTGTAGCACCGGAATCTAAAATCCAAGTAGAAGCACAAATTGAAAGGAAATTAACATGAGAAGTGGAGTGCTTGCCTTCGTTGGCATCCTTAGTGAATTTAGGAACCAAAGAAACTGTTGCTGTAATACTGGAACCAGAGGATTGCCCTATTTGACTCTGCAATGGCACCACTAATTTCTGAAATTGATCATTGTTTGCATACCCTCTGACATTGTAGGTATTCACAGCGGCATCAATCTCCTCTGCAGAGCCTTGAATATTTTGGATAGCATTAGCCTGGCTAATCTCCATATTGTTCGCAGTTAAAGTTGATACGCTGATCTGTCCTTCCACCTTTTCTGCCATTATTGTGGACAGATTCTCGTTCGTACTAAGGAAGAATGGATTTTCCACATCTTCCACTGCGTAGCTCCTCTGTGGATTAGGATTCCTCTGTGGAATCGTTGTTGAGGCCGTGCGCACCGACGATCGAGCTACTGACCACGATGCGTGCCTCTCTTGACTTACCTCACCGGAGACGACGGCGGCGTACGAGCTTCGTCGCAGCGGCTCTGATACCATATCGTAAAGTGAGTTCACGGACAGAGAGAAGATGAAGAAAGCTTCATTGTTATTCACGTCAAAATGAAGAAAGGAGTTAAAAAGAAGATTACACTGGGAAAGGGAAACTGCCACATTAATATCATAGTGACAGTTGTAACAAACAGAATAATGAAAATACAAATCTACCCTTCTATACTTTCCTTTCTTCCTCCAATACGCACATTACGTATGAAAGGCACGCACAATAACGTGTTAACGTGCGCTGTGCGCATTTTAAAATATATTGTAGCACATGTTAAGTAATACATACATACGCCATATAATAATGGAAAGGTATTTAAAAAATGAAGAAAAATGTTTCAGTATGTTAAATAATATAAATTGAAAACGGAAAAAAAATAAAAATTCATTTGAATAATAATATCTTTTTATTATAATAGGAAACAGATTCTTAAATGGTTGTGTGTTATTAGGAACCAATTTGTTAATAAACAGACCCATTCAAGGCACGCACAATCTTTATTTTTTATTTTTTTTATAATCTTTATTTTTTTTGTCCAAGTCAACGAGTATATAATCTCTCGCACATTACGTATAAAAGGCACGCACAATAACGTGTTAACATGCGCATTTTAAAATATATTGATGCACATGTTAAGTAATACATACATACGCCATATAATAATGGAAAGGTATTTAAGAAAGGAAGAAAAATATTTCAGTATGTGAAATAATATAATTTGAAAACGGAAAAAAATAAAAATACATTTGAATAATAATATCTTTTTTATTATAATAGGAAACGGATTCTTAAATGGTTGTGTGTTATTAGGAATCAATTTGTTAATAAACGGACTCATTCAAGGTATTTGCCTATAATAGTGGAGTATATCATTACCATATTGTATATACATTGAAACAGTGTAATTTGGGTTTGACAGACCATTCATCATGATGTTTACATATGCTCATCTTACTCGACCTCCTTCTATTTTGTTTGTCAATGTAATTGATAAGAATAGCAAATCATTCTAAACACCCCAATGTAGTTTATACGAGGAGGTACAGGAGATATGAGCGAAGCAGACGTTCCTCGAGTAGAGCACATATTTTTGTTGTTTTCATCTAAAACAGCATATTCTAAGCCTGAAAAGATCTTCTTCTGTGGAGCTAAACGCTAACTGATTTGGATGTGTTGGATTAGATTCACAGATGTCGTTCTTTCCACGTTTAGAATGTGTTGATTTAGCCCAGACATACGGCAGGATACTCTACTCCTTTTGGAGATATATCTTTTGGTACCTTAATGCAGGCTCAACCAAAATAAATATCTTCAAAAGGTATAGATGGATCCTCTTCAGAAGCCTCCTCAGCAGCAATGTAGGCAAGAGTCTCCCTTTTCCAGGTGTTGTAAGACACCTCTGTTCCTGTTGAACCATCAGAGGTGTCCTGAGCAGGGAAGTCGTCAATAAATGACATGAACCTTTCCTTGAATGTTGGATCATTTAGATCCCTTTTCAGTGATTGTAGATGTTCTTTTGGTATTAGGGGTTTTCGGGGTTGGTTGGACTGGTTGTCCTTCTCACCATTTTTTGTTTTTTCCATCTTCGTGTTTGAGATGTTAAGGTGTGATGGATGATCCGTTCTTTACTTCTTTATATAGGTTGTTCAACATATTATCTGCATATGAACGGGTGCATGTTATTAAATGAAATATGTTAAAATAAGTGACAACTGTATTTCATTGTCAGCAGTTTTTTCATTTTCCCATAAAGGAAATCTGTTAAAGTTGAATGGTCATTCAACTTATAAAAAAACGCACCTCTTAATGTTTTTTTTTTATTATTGGCAATAAGTTGGCTTGATAGATTTGTACTTGGCATTGGGAAATAAGTGACAAGTCAATTTCAATGTCAGCCATTTGAAGTTGAATGGTCAATTTCAATGTGCGCATATTAATAAATAAATTCACTCATATACTTCTAAGAATATCTCAACGCATATTGTAATAGCAATAGACGCATTTTAAATTATATTTGTTCCGCGTATTTAATGTTGTACATACACGCACGTTAACTGTAAATGTAACGCATATTAGAGCAATTGGTCTCAATAGATTTGTACTTGGCACTGGAAATAAGTGAGGAGTTAATTTCGGTGTCAGCAAATTTTATATTTCCCATAATGGTAATATATTTCGAAGTTGAATGGTCATTCAATATTTTAAAAAGACGCAATGATTGATTTTTTTTTTTTTTTATTTTTTAGGGAACGTACAGTATCACGCACGTGAAGGAGGTAGGACACGCATATTAACGTGTAGGGGTGCATATGACTGAATGAATCGACGCATTTTGCTATTTAAACCCACTATTCTGCTAGTATCAAACTCATCACTTACAAACAGATTTTGCTTTTGTACTTCTCCTTTTAAGCAAATTTTGCAATGGCCGCTGAAACGCACTCTGAAATTGTTGGTAATGATCTCCGAATAGATTTGCGCTGGAACTATATGAAAGTTCGTGTGGTGCATGTTGTACGTGTTCCGGAACGTGAAGGTTCTGAGAACATAAAGTCTATTGAGTGCGTTTTGCACGATTTTGAGGTATTTTTTTTATTTATCGTATTATAAATCTTAACATTTTATGTTTCTAAAATTTACTGTTGATGATTTTTTTATTTTTTATTTTTTTACTAATTTCAGGGTACTCTTGTACACATGCATATTCCTCAAACGCATGTACAAAGGTGCTTGAACAAATTTGACGTGGCATATAACACGTACAGAAACAAACCTTCGCCTCTTAGGTGTATGCTAGTGTTTTGTAATAGAACTCGCGCAGGAGCGGCGAGGGATGATGATTTGCCAACATATGTTTATGATGGTGAAGAATACAAGTTCATGGATCAACAGGTGCCCGATGCGATGGTTGCAAAATTGGATGCGTAAGGACAAATAAACGATGAATGTGTGAACATTTTATGTTTTTCATGTTATTTGTTATTACGTATTATTGTAATCCAACAATTTTAGTTGAATGATATAGCATGTTTATTATGTTTATTATTGCAATATATTATGTCTTTATTGACGTATCTTATTTTAAGGACACCCCATGGCACATTGTCATATTAGTAGATGATGATAGATACGCATACCAAAGTAAGTTCGTCCATAAACGCATGCACATTAAGAATGTTAGATACACAATATAAAGTGTTAACATGCGCATATTAATGAAAAATAAAGTCTTATAAAGTTGACTGGTCATTAAATACGTTAAAAAAAAAAAAACAACCGAAATTAAAATTGAAGGATAGTAGAGAATAAATTGAAGCATATTCTTCTAAGAATACCCCAGATTCACGTATTTTCTAAAGCACATTATGTTACTGTATTGCGCATGTTAAGCTTTTTTTTTTGTTATGGACTATAGTTTTAATAGATAACGAAAGGCAAATTTTGTTACAGTATTACGCATATTGAGCGTACGTATTGCGCATGTCAAGCTCTCTGCACGTTTTTAATTTTCGGGAATTGCTCTTTAACAATTTTTTTTTATAATTGAAATAATGGATGAGCCCACTGGCGAAATGGTAGAAGTCTTTGATCAAACTGATTTCGCCCAAGATTGACCCCCCATAAAGGCTTGATTTTTTTACTCCGTATTATATTTTATCTGTTTTTTTGTTTAATTAAATATAATACACGCATCTTAAAGTGATATTTCGCGCTATTTAATTGGTTTCCAGACGCACTTTAAACTCTTGGATTCAAAATATATCGTAGTTCGATAAAAGTTAACTAAATGTATATTTAAACGCATATTGTTCTTGTAGTACGCGCATGTAACATAGCAAAGCAAAGCACATTAAGTGTTTTATAAATAATCCACGTTAATATTCAAAGATATTTGATGTTAGAACTTTAAGGCATTTGTAGTTGGGGAGACTGATAACATTGAATGGTAATTCAATGCCTTAAAAATGCCTTAAAAAGCGCACAAACTGAGCAGTTGATTTTTTTACTACGTATTATATTTTATCCCTTTTTCGTTTAATTAAATATAATACACGCATCATAAAGTGATATTTCGCGCTATTTAATTGGTTTCCAGACGCACCTTAAACTCTTGCATTCAAAATATATTGTAGTTCTATAAAAGTTAATTAATGTATATTTGTAGTTGGGGAGACGGATAACATTGAATGGTCATTCAATGCCTTTAAAAAACGCCTTAAAACGCGCCCAACTGAGTGTTTGTAGTTGGGGAGACCAAGTTATTCGGCTATAAATTGGAAAGAAAAACACACAACTGAACATCATCTTTTACTGAAAAAATGGCTACCTCGCACGTTTCCTCACATTCAGAAGAACACTTTTCTTTTATTCTTCATCTTGCATGTCCTATTCACCCCACTCGCCCTCCAGATTGTAGTGATTGTAAACAACTACAAAAAACAACACATTCTAAACCTGATAGAACATTCGTCATCCTCAGCTGCAAGCTCGTCATGCTGCAACCAAACATCTTTCAAGGCTGAGAGAGTTGATCATCGACACCCCAAATAACACCTACGGCTGCCAGGAATCTATCATATACAGCAAGCTTAGAGACCACGAGCCTACATGCATCCATACTCCTTGGTCATGTCCAAATCGAGCTTGTAAGCTCAGCTGCAGGCTCATCATGCCACAACCAAACACCATTCAAGGGTAAGAACTGAGCATTGTAGGCTGGCAGCATGTCGGATGACGCCGGAACTAGAAGAAACGTCTTCAAAGTACTAGAAAAGATGCGCTGAATGTTATTGGTGTTGTATCAATGTGTATTAACGTTTACAAATACTAATATATTAGAGTGTAAATTATTATTTTTATTAATATAGAAATCAACGCTCATTGTGTTCCAATATCACGCATTTTAAATCGATATGTCGCGCATATTAAATTCAAAGTATGTATGTGGCATTTTATATGCAAATTATTTCATAATCAAACAAACGCACTTTAAGTTTTGCAATCGCGCAAACTGGACTAATTTTCAACGCAATGTCTGAATAATTACGTTTTTATACATAGACCAACGCACATTACATTTATGTGTTACGCATATATAAGCCGTAGTGTAGTACACGTTTAAAGTGTAAATCAACGCACATTAAGAATTAAATAGAGGCATATTGCTTCCTTTTAGATTCGTGATTAGTAGGTAGGCAACATATATTTTGGTATACAAGGAATAAATGGATGAGCTGATTGGTGAAATGGTAGAAGTCTTTGAATATATTGAATCTGCCCAGGATCAAATCCCCCCCAAAAGACTTAAAATATTTTTGGCCGGTAATCTACGAATCTAAAGACTTTGGTGTTTACCGCGGACCAAAGATTATATAAATAAACCAACGCACATTACGTCTGCTCGTGCATATTAAAAACAAGCTCTCGTATTTACCTCTGTTGTTGTTACTGGCGAAATGGTAGAAGTTTTTGATTTAAATGATTCTGCCCAGGATTGAACCTCAATAAAGACTTGATCTTTTTATTATATTTTTATTGTTTTTTGTTTAATATAATGAACGCATCTTAGAATCATATTTCGCGCACTTTATTTGGTTTCGCTACGCATATTAAAATTTTGGCTTTAAAAAAAATGTCTTATTTCGATGAAAATTAAATAAATTTATATTTACACGCATGCTGTTCTTGTTGTTCGCGGATGTAACAGAGCAAAGCAAAGCACATAAAGTCTTTTATACCAACTCACGTAATATTCAAAGATATTTGATGTGAGAACTTTAAGAGCATTTGTAGGTGGGGAGATGGATAGCATTGAATGGTCATTCAATGCCTTAAAAAACGCACCCATTAAAGCAAATCTTGAAAAATCTAATGTATCTGTAAAGCACGTAACATTCAATTATCAAATTAGTGCATGTGACCAAGTTAGTCACCTATATATAAATTAGGAGGAACAACACACAACTGAGCATCAGATTTTTGAAATGGCTATCTCTCACTTTTCCGCACATACAGAAGTGTCCTCTTCATTTATTCGTCATCTTCTATTCCATTTTCATCTCCCTCATATCCAGCTTGTAGTGTTTGTATCTAATTTCGAAAACATAACATTATAAACCTGAAGCATCATTCGTCATTCTCTTCTTCAATGTCATCATCTAGTTTCCAAACATCATCCTTGGCTGAGAGTTTATCATTGTGGCAGGCTGGCAGCGTGTTGGATGCTGCCGGAACCAGAAGAAATGTATTCAAAGTACTAGAAGAAATAAATATGTGCAATCGTTTATGTATGTATCATTTTATCTACAAATTATTTTACAATCAAACAAACGCACTTTAAGTTTTACAATTGCGCATATTAGATGTATCTTTAACGCATCGTATATTAACTAATAAATAAACGCACATTAGAAAAAGATAGTGTTAAATATTCCATTTGTACGCATATTAAGCTTTAATGTCGCGAAAGTTAAATGTTAATTGACGCATGTAAAGACGTTTGCATTTATCATGGACCAAAGTTTCTATGTATAAACCAACGCACATTCTGTTTCCGTACTACGCATATTAAGCTTTAATGTAGCGCACGTTAAAATCTTAATCAACGCACATTAAGAACTAAATGCACGCAGGTAAAGTATTAATAACACGCACTTTAAGCCAGTAGCAGTGATAGATAAATGCAAATCAGTGACAAAATATAGTAATAATTGAACATTAAATTCAAGTATATCAATTGTAAAAAGTGTTCTGAAATGAGTGAACTAAGTATTTATGTTTCATATTTGCTATCTATTTATGTTCTCGACTGTAAAGCAGTTGAAAAAATTGTCTGCTGGCTTTTTCTTGCCCTTTTGCTTGTCCTTATTTTTGGGGTTAAGTGGGAAAGTCCTGGTGTCATGGTGATCTCCTCTAACACCACAAAAATTGCACCTCCTGCCCTCTTCTTTTTCCATTGCCAACTCCTTGCTGCTTTTGATACGTTTGCCGCTGCCCTTGTTCTTTGCATGTTTCGGTGGAAGTATGTTGATCTCTGAAATTTCTGTTGATCCACAATATGATTCTATAACAGTCCTCCTGCTGTGCTGAGGGGACAATTTCTCCTTTCCTGACAGTAGCAGCTGTTTCTGTTCATTAATCACTTGGGAAAATGCAGCCAATTGCTCTATGTTTGAACCTTCCAGATCCATACAACAGTGTATATCAGACCAAACTTTTTTCAATAACATCTTCTTTTCATCCTTTGGTCCATTCTGATCATAAATGACACCATCTATTTCAAACGTAGCTTTTAAAGATGCGTCTTTAGTCCACCGATTAACCACGTACTTCAGAGGTATACTTTCAAGGTCCCTAAAGACCACAAATATGTGTCTACACAACAGTCCAACCATCTCAAACATCTTGCAACTGCATTTGGCCTCATGGTCATTTACATTGTGCACCACAGTAAATCTCTTGTTCTTTCCTTCCATAATATCATAGTGCAACATTCCACCGTCTTCTCTAACGCTCAACACCATACATTTGAAACAGGAGGCACATATTTCTTCCTGAACTTGATAGAAAACAGTAATGGTGTAGACAATTGAAGCGTGTTTTTCAATTCCCAGAGGCGTCTTCATATCTGGATTGTATCCTTCATTGTCACTGTTGAGCTTTGCATTTGTGTTACGTTGTGACTTAAGAGCACTGTCAAAGTTCATCATGAATTCAACTAGGCTTGATTGGGGACCAGTAAAACGGTTGTACGTGTAGTTCTCACTTTCGGAACGAGAAGTTGTCCTGAGTAGACCCCCCATAAAGACATCTCTAAAATACGCTGGGATCCGATGGTTTTTAGCCTCAAACATAGTTGTAAACCAATTGTGTTCGACTAAGTTGTACTTTTCCATGAGCTCTTTCCACTGCTTCTCAAAATCAGGAGGTTCCAAAGATGACGTCCAAACGATTGGGTTCAGTTTCTTCCTGAATTCCTCATCCTTGTTCAGCGTAGGACCCACCTTTTCTCCAAATTTACACATGATGTGCCACATGCAATAACGATGCCTGGCTTGCTTGAAAACTGTTGGAATTGCCACTTTCATAGTTGGATCTTGATCGGTGACAATTATTCTTGGTTCCATACCCATTGCCTTTTTAAATTTTTCAAAGAGCCAAACATAAAATTCAATGTCTTCTTTCAACAGTAGTCCAGCACCGAATGTTATACACTTTCTATGGTTATCAACTCCAGTGAAGGGTGTAAAAACCAGATTGTACCTACAAGACAAAAAGCGTTATCACAATATACAGGAGTCGCACTGCCGCACTTAGAGAATTAGTGTAACGCACATTAAGTATTAAAATCGCACACATATGTAATTGAAGTCTAATTATGGATCTCCCGCATTAATATGCGAGACATTAGTGTTTAAAATGCGTGCTATAAAACCACAATGTGCGTTTATTTATATTTCATATCTTTTTTCAATAAAATAGTGAACATGTCTAAATTTTTTCATGGCTCAACAGATCAGGCAATGCTAAATGTAATATAATAATAGATACCTGTTTGTTGAGTATGTGGCATCAAAAGAGACAACATCTCCAAATGCAGCAAAATTCTTTTTTGACATTGGATCTGCCCAAAACAGTCTGCTCATCTTCATCAACTTCGTAGTCAAAAGCAAATGCAGGGCACATCTCTTGTTTTTTAATAAGATTATACACCAATATTTGTGCATCAGCTCCCAATATGTATGCTCTGAGATCCCTTCTAACATTCTTGAAATCAACTACAGTCGCCCCAACTTCAGAATAATCCCCCACAATATGACTGTATAAACCATGCGATTTTGATGCTCCAATGTTTGCTTTAGCGCAATCGAGTATAAATTTCTGGTGAACACTGGAGATGTTTCTATTTCCTTTTAGAAACTGCCTTGCCAGAACTGAAGACATGTTGTGATTATGTTTTTCAATAAAAGTTGCAACTTGGTACCCAGCTGCTCCAATGTACTTAAATATAATCCTAGCTCTGCAACCAGTCCTGTTTGAGACCCTTCGCCGCTTTGGACGGGAAGGACCTTTGCCTGCATCTGAACTTGACTGCGAGTGACAATGTTGAGCTCCTGTATTCTTAAATCCTTCTCTATTGCAAACGATTTGCTTTTGAGTTTTTGTCTCGTCACGTGCTGTAACGACAGAACTAGACCTCGTGTCAAACCCAACCTTGGTAGCATAATGATTGTAGAATTCAATACCAACATCCAATGTTTTAAAAATCATATTTACTGCTGGTCTGATTTCATCTTCACAGTGAGGAGTCCAATACTATGTCATTCCAGGAGATATGGTCAATGTATGACCATTGCTGCTGCTGTTGGGACTCAAACTGGGGTTGTTGGTAGATTGAAAGTCACCGGGAACTGTAACGTATAAACATGAAGTTGTAATTGTGTTGTTGAAAGCCTCTATGTGCGTGACGAGAACACTTAATATGCGTTAAGTTTATCAGATCATTGTCAATAAGGCAGAATTATAAAATACAAGAGTATGTGCGGCAAGTGAGAAACTAACGTGCTTCAGGATAATAGTTAACGTGCGCATGTTGAAGAGTTAACATGCGTGAGTGTTTGTTAAAATATTATGTCATTACCTAATGTGCGTCAGAGAGTCCAGTAACATTAACATGCGTCTGGAAAGTAATGTGCGTGTGCTCTAAGGATAATATGCGTGAGAAAAAACAGTAATATGTGCATTTTTAAAAATTATCATGTGGCTACGTAATCATCTAGGCTTGGATTAATTAAAGTAGCTCAGTAATTCAGTGCTTAAGTTGCATGCATGTAGTGCTTAATATGCGTGTAATTAAGAAAAGAATGGTACAAATACAAGTGCAGATAAAATTAATTCTAGAAAAGCGATAGAATCTGTGTAATACCTCGATCGAAATCTTCCATTATTGGTCGGATGACGTTTTTGCTGGGTTTAGGGTTTATATTTTTCGAGTATGATATTGAACGACGAAGAGAATAGATCTTATTGCCAATTCCGTAGAGATCGTATATTCGTCTGAGATTAGGAAATATAGAAGATTAGGAATCAAAATTGAATTTTGAAAACGCTTGAAGAAGAAGAACAACAGATTTTTTTTTTTTAATATAATCAAAAGGACAAAAATACCTTTAATGACCAATTCACGCTTATTTTTTGCTGCTAATCTGATTCGTTCGATCAAGAGCTACATGAGGCTTAGATTAAACCTCATTTTTCACGGGAAGGACGAAATGCACGGAAGCCCTTCCCTATATATATATATATATATATATATATGTCAAAAACAATAATGAAATTTAATAAATCAAACAAAGTTTTCATACATGGTTATATCTCTATCTTTATATATATATATATATATATATATATATATATATATATATATATAAAGATAGAGATATAACCATGTATGAAAACTTTGTTTGATTTATTAAATTTCATTATTGTTTTTGACTTTTGTTATGTCTTAGCAAGTTGGCATGGGATGAAATATTATATATTGTTTAATCTAATTCAAAATTTAATTCTAAAAATCGTGTACTTAAAGAAAATTATATAATTTGAAAACATTAATAATCTCAACCAACAACAGAATTATAAACTTTATTTTATTATATTTATATATCTTTATATCTGGTGCCACATAATCTAAACATTATAGGTACATGCAATATTAATTGGTCTTTCTACAATCAGACCTGATTTCCCCACTAGACCCTGTTAAAGGGTTTATATTCCCCATGTTAATCATCGCAACCGCAAAGCTCTCGAAAAATGCAGTTTGGTTCTGTGCAAAGTGGTTAACCACACCGGGCATAGATAGCAACACTTGATCCGATGGCAGAAGTCCCTGATTCTTCAGCAGTCTAGAGAAGTAGTTGTTGTCAAATAAATTTGGGGTTGTCGGGTCGAAGTTGGCCAGGTTGGATGCAGATCCATTCTTGGGACAAGTGTTCCTTAATATAGCCAAATAGGCCGGGTCTAGAGACGGGTCAGGGTTGCCTGTATTGTTGAAATTGTACAGTCTGTCGTTGATGAAACGACATTGTACACTTCCAAAAGTATGTGCACCTGCAATATAATTAACATGATTAAAAAGTAAATCATCATTGTTTATAACTACTAGTGAGATGCAACAAATATGTGTGTCACACATACTTACCAGATAAAGCTACGACATCATTAATGTTCAAGCCAACCCTTGCAAACTTTTGAACAATGTCGTTCAAAGTTGCGAATGGAGAAGGAAGATTAGTTTCAGCACCTTCCTTGTTTGATGTTCTTCCATCCCTTCTGCCCAACAACACATTCCATGAAGGGCCACCACTCTTCATGCATATATATATGTTGCATTAATTAAATCAAGTCCATCCATAATATAATTGGTAAAGCAAAAATAAAAAAGGAAAACTATATAGGAGAAATGTAATCACCAGTGAAACCGAGGCTTCGGCAGCAAGTGCTAAAATATCAGCACATGACACCACACCTTTGCAAACGCGGTCAACTTCAAACTTGATGTTGTCAACAACGTCGAACCCCCTAGCAGAATTAGCATTTGGAGCTGCGCCTTTCTCGCTTTCATTTCCGTCCAACAAAATTGAACCATCACAACCCTGCAGATCAGACCAAGTCATTAATTTAATAACAAAAAAAAAAAAAAAAACATCACAAACACACAGATATATATATATATATATATATATATATATATATTCATGAATTACAGGGGAAATTTTACGTTAACAAAACAATCATGAAAATGGAGACGGATGAGGCTGGCAGTAATGCGAGAATCCGCCACCAAGGATCGCTGAATCACAGTGCGGACAACGGTAGAGACATTGGGGCAAGTGGTGGAGTAGAACGAAGAGCTCAGCTGCCCATTTGTTCCACAGAGGAGTACGGTGGCGGCTGCGGGAAGCAACGAAAACTGGGACGCCATATATATCCTATCTTTAATAAACCAAGAATTAAGTTGAGTATGTAGTAGTAGTAGTTGAACTGATATATTCAAGCTATGGCCGGGATTATATATAAGCAGGGCGGGGTGGGATTAATCATGGAGCTAGGAACGCGGTTCTCGACATTTTTTTCTTTCTCTTTTAGTATGTGAATATATATTATTGGAATGTTGCATATAAACCTTCATATTTACTCTTTTAGTCAAGATCATATTTACACGCCAAACCTCTTTTGTTGCTCCATGGCCTACTCATTACTCCGTATTAGAATTTTTTTTTTGAAACAAATTTATTTACACTCATACCGCGTAATTTATATTTATAATGCAATGGTGATATATGAAAAACAATAAAATATATAATAATATTTAATTATTTTTTGAAAGACGAGAAAAAATAAAGTCATTACACAAGGATTTGCATTAATTAAATTCATAAGTAACCTGGACAGAGATATATATGAACTTATTACATTAAAGTTTACTACTAAGCTAACAATATAACTAATTTGAGTAGAATTGCCATAATAATATTTAATGCTATTGTTTTACCAAAGTAACTACTAATATTTAATCCAGGAAAACAACACTTTTGGCCCCTCAATTGTTTTACTTTTGAAAATTTAGTCCCTGTCATCAATTGATCATTTGAACAAACTTAACACTTTAATTGTTCATAATGTGACACATTTGGTCCCTCATGTTATAAAATTAGAATGGTTTTAAAAATTTATTTTTTATGAGGTTATAATTGTCCAAACTTTTCAACCATTTAACTTTCTTCTCCTTCTTATTGCCCCAATAAGTCAAGCGGATAGTGCAATTGGGTCTCCTAAGTGAAAAAAACTCCATTCAAGTCTCCTAAACCGGTAAAATTGTTTAATTAAGTCCAATTGGACTTATTTATCAAGTTAAATCGATGCGGTATTGACACGTGTCCTTTTTTTATTTTATTTTTTTAAACAAATGTTTTTATTTATAAAGAGTTAAAAAGATTATTTATTATAAATAAATTAAAAAAAAAAAAAAAACAGTCTCCGGCTATCCGCACCGGAAAGCCGGTGGTTGTGTTATTCACAGACAGTCGTGGCTGTCCGGAAAGACGGCTTGGCCGACGAATGAAGACGGCCATGGACGTCTTCTAGATCTGGAACGAGGGCTACGGCCTTCCGCTGCCCTCGTTCCAGTCCATTCCGTCTGGAACGAGGGCGGCGGCCATGGTCGTAGCCCTCGTTCCAGATCTAGAAGACGGCCAAGGTCGTCTTCCTTCGTCGACCATGGGCGTCTCCGTGAAGAAGACAGCCATCGACTTTCCGGCGCGGACAGCCGGTGGCTGTTTTTTTAAAAAAAAAAATTTATGTACTTATTTATAATAAAAAATATTTATGAACAAATAAAGGGTTAGGTTTGTTCAAATCAATTGAAATGGGCTAAATTTGTAAAAGTAAAACAATTGAGGGGTCAAAAGCGCCCGTTTTCCTTTATTATGTAGTGGTATAACTGTCTTTATACTCATTATTCCTTACAATTCCAAACACAACCAAACAATGGAATATAATTGATATTTCCAGTAATTTATTTTTCACCAACCAAACAATGTAATTACTCTTCCCGGTAATTTCTTTTCCATGGAATTTAAATTTCATTTCTCCTCAAATATTTTCCGTGAACCAAACAAGGCCTTATATTGGCTGTTTAACCAAGTCAAACAGCTAATAGTGATCAAATAAACCAAAATAAACTAATAAGCTAACTATGTTACCAAAATGGGCCAAATTGTTTTTGTGTGTATCCTAAACGTTTTTTTAGTGCAGTGAAAACTTTCGTTTTTTGCCTAACTGATTTGATGATGAACTTGTCAAAGTGCGTGCAGTGGGGTTTAGTTTCATTGTGAATTAACCTTTTTGTTTCAACTAATGAATGGAATTTGAGTTATGAAAGTTATGCCGTTACGGTATGGACACACCACATTTCGTACATTCCGACAAATATGTTAACGTCTGATTCATTAAATGCAGAAATTATCAATAAAATGTGAATGATTAATGCACTCAAATTACACAAAATCCAATGTAAACAATTAATTAATTAGAAGTAAACACTTTTGGGATAATAAAGTTTACTTGATATGTAATGACGTATAACCATAATTCTTTCTTTATTAGAAAGGAAATCGGTGCTTTTAGCCTCTCAATTGTTTTACTTTTAAAAATTTAACTACAGTCAATTAATTTGCACAAATCAAACTATTTAATTGTTCATAATG